TGATGTGTGTGTGTGTGTGTGTGTGTGTGTAGTGTGTGTGTGATGTGAGTGTGTGTGTGTGTTGTGTGTGTGTGTGTGTTGTGTGTGTGTGTGTGTGGTGTGTGTGTGTGGTGTGTGTGTGTGTGTGTGGTGTGGTGTGTGTATGTTTATGTAATGTTGTGTGTGTTTGTGTGTTGGTGTTGTGTGGGTGTATGGTGTGGGGTGTGGTGTCTGTGTGTGTGTTTGTGCGTGTGTGTGTGTGTGTGTAGTGTGTAGTGTATGTGTGAAAATAGTGGGCCGTTTAAGTCGATAATAAAGGTATTCGAAATGTTGTGTTGATGTCGTAGTTTAAGTTGTTGCCAATGTGTGACTGTGGAGGTTTGGATGTGTGTGTGTGTGGATGTGGTGTGTTGTGTGTCTGTGTCGTGTGGGTGTTAGTTTCTATACACATTAAAATCCGATAAGCTCTGCTATACGACCATGACTCTTACCATCCATAATTGGGATACATATTGTGTTGTAGCAGTTGTTTTCTGAAACTTAAGATATTCAGTTTATAAAGTTAAGTAAAAATACAATGAAATAAAGTTACAAAAAGTGTTTTGTTGTAGTGTTAGTGTGGATTACGACCAGTTGACTTTCGAGGGTTGTCTCGGTAAGTGGTGTGTGGGATGGTTGGTGGTATTATATTCACACATATACATACACCTACAGTAGGGCCCCGCTTTACAGCTTTCCACTAATACACACATTTCAAATTATGACCAAAGCTCTCTATACGGCTCCCCCTACCTAACTTTCCAATCCAGTCACCATGGGCTACCCAGTTTGTTTATATTCTCTGTGAGCACGACTCTCCAGTATGTCTGGAAACTTTCCAAAATTTCAAGTGTTTTAAAGTTATTTCATATTTTATATATACTCTGATAATTATAATAAGAGTGTCTTATTAGTCTTGGAGATGCCATATTAACCCTTTCAGGGTTGGTGCCGTACTAGTACGGCTTGCACGCCAGGGTTGGTGCCGTATTAGTACGCATAAATTCTAGCACTTTCAAGTCTAGCGAGAGAAAGCTGGTAGGCCTACATATGAAAGAATGGGCCTATGTGGTCAGTGTGCACAATATAAAAAAAATTCCTGCATCACAAAGTGCATGAGAAAAAAACTCCGACCGTGTTTTTGGTTTAAAACAGCGATTTTGCAGTGCATTTTCGTATGGTATTTATGGTCGTATTCTAGTTTTCCTGGTCTCATTTTATAGAATGGAAGGCATATTATCGAAATTGAGATGATTTTGATTGGTTTCACAATGAAAAGTACCTTGAAACTGA